TGACAGCTCAGGTGGTGCCGCTATTCCCTTGTGGGCAAACTCTTGACAATCACTATCAGCTTCGTTGAGCAGATCTACCACCTCCTTCACTATATCTTCTGGTATCAGCTTTCCACTCTCCATGTAAAATTCACCTGTGTTGTGAAAAGCTTCTAAGTGATATGATCCTCCTCTGAGCTTTGTAAGATATGTCTTTGTAACAAAGAAATGTGAAATCTTATATGCACTTAAATCTTTCTGCAACAGAAGAACAGTCTTAGGAGCCTTGCAAATGAAATATATTTTCAAGAAACCTCAGATAATCTGACTTAAACATTTCCTTAAACTTCTTTTGCTATTTTGTTCTAAAATGAGGTGATCTGCTAATGAGAAAAATGATCAAAAATCAATTTGGTTAAATCTCACTATGACACATAGTTCTGAATTATCTATCACTCAATATGAGAAAAATGATCAAAAATCAATTTGGTTAAATCTCACTTCACTTCAGTGTAGAAACCCAATTTTCTACTTATGACCATCCATTCACCAAAGCTAGCACAACAAGCTGGCGAAACCAAAAGTATTCATTTCCTACCTTTCCCATCCACTGACACTTTGTGATGTATCAGTCCTCTTGGCTTTGCATACTGGTAGATGACGTTTCCTTCCTCTCCGTGTATCCACTGGGCTCCAAGTTCTACTACCCCTTGTGGGGGGGTTCGGATTGTGTTGACTCTTCCGCCAACACGATCATTGGCTGTAGTATTGTTTGGGTATAGACAATAAAAAGAATTGCAGAAGTAATGATGATTACAATAATAACAATCATAATGGTAATAATGATAACTAAAATAATGATGATACTAATAATCATGATGAAAATAATTATAATATAATAATAATGATGATGAGGGAAATATTACTAATAACAATAACAATAATAAAATCAACAATAATCATAACAACAGGAAAATCAACAACAATTCCACTAATAATGATAACAATAACATCAATAATTGTAATATTAGTGGCAGCAGCAGCAGCAGTAGTAGTAATAGCAGTAATAGAAGTATTAGTAGAAGTGGTGGTGGTGGTGGTGAGGGTAATTCGTAATTAATGGTTAATAGTAGTAGTAGTAGTAGTAGTAGTAGTAGTAGTAGTAGTAGTAGTAGTAGTAGTAGTAGTAGTAGTAGTAGTAGTAGTAGTAGTAGTAGTAGTAGTAGTAATAGTAATTAGTGTTTAGTAGTAGTAGTAGTAGTAGTAGTAGTAGTAGTAGTAGTAGTAGTAGTAGTAGTAGCAGTAGCAGTAGTAGTAGTATAGTAGTAGTAGTTAGTAGTAGTAGTAGTAGTAGTAGTATAGTAGTAGTAGTAGTAAGCAGCAGCAGCAGCAGCAGCAGCAGCAGCAGCAGCAGCAGCAGCAGCAGCAGCAGGAGCAGGAGCAGGAGCAGGAGCAGGAGCAGGAGCAGGAGCAGGAGCAGGAGCAGGAGCAGGAGCAGGAGCAGGAGCAGGAGCAGCAGGAGCAGGAGCAGCAGCAGCAGCAACAACAATATTAATAATGATAACAATAGTAATAATAAAAAAAATAAAAGATATAATGCACCTACAGACACTGGTCGTACCTTCCAGAATGAGAACAGAGTTGATCCCTTTGGCTGTGAGCTCTCGTGCAGCCCCAATGCCAGAGGCCCCACATCCCACTATGATGACTTTGTACTTTTCCCTTGTTGTCGTCTGTCTGCTTGAGGGAGGATAAGGCATACTGTGGAAGAATGAATAGGTTGCTGTGTTAATGAAGTGAGTGCATGTTTAATCTCTTCACTAATTTTTATCTGTTTGTGTGTGTGTGTGTGTGTGTGTGTGTGTGTGTGTGTGTGTGTGTGTGTGTGTGTGTGTGTGTGTGTGTGTGTGTGTGTGTGTGTGTGTGTGTGTGTGTGTGTGTGTGTGTGTGTGTGTGTGTGTGTGAGAGTGTGAGAGTGTGAGAGTGTGTGAGTGTGTGAGTGTATGAGTGTGTGAATGTGTGAGGGTGTGAGTGAGTGTGTATGTATGTGGATGCATGGGTGCATGTGTATGTGTGTGCATGACTGCATCCATGGGTGTAAGTGTATGTACATGTGTGTTTGAATGTATGTATGTGTGCATGTATGCATGGCTAAAGTATACATAAAAATGTCTCTGTTAAGAAGTATATCTTCAAGGAAGTTCTGCAATAAAGTAATGCTTTTCCATGCTGAAAGCCAGTGATATCAATGCAATATAAGAACAAAGCTAAAATGAAAAGAAAAACAATCTAATTTCAATAACCTAAAGTCAATGACATAGCATCATGGTGTAGTACCCTGTTTGTCCCACTTGAATGTTGTCACTATTTCCCTCAATTCTTTGGAATATACTCTGACGTCATCAAGAGAGGGCACTATGTCATCAAAATCACAAAGGTCACTATGATCTAATTTCAACCTTAGAGGTACTTGAGAGAAGGGTAATATCAAACAAATAGATATACTAAAGTGCTTATTGATATTTTACGTCATAAATCGTTACTATCATTTTCATTAATTTAACATAATCATTCCGACTCATCAACTGAGCGCACTCCAACCTTATACCATTCTTCTCTTGTCCGTTCTTCTTTCTTCCCTCTTCTTTACAGTGTAATCTTGCTCACTCTGGTTATATTTTCCAACTGCTAAAGAGATTCTTGAAGTTTATCTTCCTCTCTCCTCTTAACCAGATCTAAGAATAAGACCACTCACACAAAAAAAAAAACATTCCTAAAATCAAAGATTATATTTTAGGAATGATAATACAATATAAAATATCAAAAAAATAACTAAAATGCTTCTTTTAGGAACTAACCATATGTTTATAACAAACAAATAAAAGAAGTATACTATTCATGCCATTATATAAGATCTGAGTAGTTATATTATTAAACCATAATAAATTTAACTGCAAAACGATCATTTACTATCTTTATTATGAATTTCAAGAAAACTTACACTCTCTGAATGGGTTTTTAAATTCTCAATAGGGTATGAGGTGCGTCTGGAGGCGCCACAGTGTCACAGTGCCACACCAGCAAGGAGCTGTCAAGGAGATATCTTCTTTACCTCTATTTTCTACACTTATCTCAAATAATCACTTTACTTTATTCTCCACATGATATTTATAGCACTTTATACTTTTATTAATGTTATTATTACATTATTGTGTCCTTTCTTACCTCCGATATTCCCAGATATTAACCTTACTCCTTTCGTGTTGTTAAATAGCACTCCTCTCTTTCTCTCTCTCTCTCTCTTTGTGGTTATTGTGACAATATCAGGGTGTAATATCATAAATACTTAATAATTCAACTCTTACTCAGATCCCATATATTACAAGCATTTCGTCCTTCTTATTCCATACATGCATAATTTCATAACTCAAATATAACCTTTTAAGTAACGAAATTAATACATATCTATTTCTAAAGGAGAATATTCATTATACAACCTGGATATAATACAGTGCCAGTACAATATAATAGAGTACCCTTAAAACAAAGAGAATGTGGTGGGGTTAATACAGTGCCAGTACAATATAATAGAGTACCCTTAAAACAAAGAGAATGTGGTGGGGATACACCAGAGAAAACTAGGAACTTATATGGTAAACTATTATATTTTACATAGATTCATCTATTCTTTAATAACTAGTGGAATATTATATATACATATATAAAACTCCGTATAAAAATAGCAAAATATAGTATCATCTTTCTGAGCAAATAATTAAGTACTAGAACAACATACATAATTAAACTGAGGTATACATAAGTTGCAACACATGCTTCAAGACTAAGTAAATGAGGTAAACAAAGGGTGGTTTCCAGACGAATTTTTGGGTCACTCTAACTTCACATTCCGTACGCCCATTACAATGTTATGAAGATAGGCTTCGTCTTCTGAAAATGTGAATACCCTAATGGTATAATACATTCAGTATAAAAATAAAATGCAGCACACACACTGAAGCTTTTGCACATACCATACGGGAACTATAGCAGAACAAGGCCTTTTCGTTCTGCATGTTATAAATCTAGCAGAATAAGTTAGATATAAATAAGTATATCTCTATATAACACAACACCATAACCAAAAAATAGAACAAATAACATATCAGTGCATAAACCTTTTATATGAAATCTGAAGAATTTCTAAATCACAATATCTATAGGATATACAGGTAATACACTAAATATCCTTATATTTCTACAGTATTCACAAAACACACTCCCTTATCTGGAATCAAATATAATTAAAATCATAACTTTTCCATGTTTAACATTCCTTTGCTAGCTTCCGGTGCCTTTAAATCAAATAAAACTCTATCAAGAATCAATCACTTCTATAAAATCAAATACCATTCTATAATTCATTTAATCTTAAAACATCTCTTACCTCTTGATGTATTTTAAGATTCTCTCGGCTTCACGCCATCCACTTTCAACAGCACCGTGAACTGTAGAGTAGAATTCAGTGCTTGTGGCTTCTCCCGCAAAACACAGCAGCTGAGGCATAAATCATACACCAGTGAAAAATACTTCTTCTTTCTTAGTAATGGAAGGAATAATGATCATTCAATACTTATAATGGTAGTTATGATAAAAACAATGATGATAATAATAATAAAAATAATAATAGTAATAAGCAAAATTTCACAAGTTTCTCTTTCTTCATATAAATGCTGAATATATTAGCAATATATATTTGCTTACAGGTTTGCCCTGAATATTGGTCACAGGTTCAGACAGGTCCTCTGCCCATACATTCATGCTGTCAGTCTTGATACTTCTAAAGCTATAGGATCCACGTGTCCATTTGTTACTTCCCCATTTACTCCTGAAAGTAGTTAATATATAAAGATATTTTTTTTTTTCACTCAAAGACAAGATTTGAGTCTACAATCCTTACTCAATATGCACAAAATAAGTGAATGAAAGAAATAAAAAAAGAAAAAAAAAAAGAAACGAAAAAACACCTTTTGCAAAATACTGGATCAGGGACAGTGTATGTCTCTCCAAGATATTTTCGTAAAACAAAAATGCATCTTTTAGCAATAGCCTCTTCAGATAAAACCTCCATAGCACGTGCACATTCTCCCCCAATCCAAATGCACATCATTCTTGGCTGACGATGAGTACTGTAGAATCCCATAAGATGCTCATGCCAATTCTGTGGGAAAAGAAAAGACATCAAGAGAAATTTCACTAAGATCTCTTTCATATTCACATCATGAACAATAATAACTGTTCCTCCAATGATTCAGACAGACTAATTTAGTTTTTTTTCAGTTTCTATAGAAGAGTAGTTCCAACCTAATCTTATAATCAGTCTTCTTGCACTAGCAAATATACAAGACAGTATGTAACTTTAAAAAATCCTATTCTTCAAAAGTGCAGAAGAAAAATCTCCCAAGACCCCTTTTCCAAAACTCCATAAACATCCAATTAAATGCACTCATCATTAGGAGGCTCTTCTTAGTTCTCTTACTTCTGGGGTTATGGGTGTCCTCCGGATATTAATGTCAGGAACAATTGTAAATCCATCGCAGTCACTTGGCCACCAGCGGTATGGGAATTCTATAAAGATCTTGTTAACTAACCCTAAGCAGAGACCCTGAAATATCATTTAATTCCACATGTAAATGAATCAGTTACAAAATCTTTAAACAGCACAATAATGGGAAAATGCAACTATTCTTCAAAATTTGCACATCATTATGGCATGGTTTTCCATCATACTAATAGCAAGGAACACTTTTAAAAAATCACAGCAATTTTCACCATCAAATAATCAACTTCTCTTGGAGGAGTTGAAGAAGAATAATAATAAGAAGAAGATGAAGGAAAAGAAGAGGAAGAAGAAGAAGAAGGAGGGGGAGAAGAAGAAAAAGGACAGAGAGAAAAATTAATACTCAAAACCTACTTCAATTGCTTGAGCTTTTTTCATTGGTAACTGAGGTGTAAATGTCTGAAGATGTGTTGCTTTCAATACGCCCAAGGATGGAGTGTACACCACATGGTCAGCCTCAATGATACGTCCAGACTCCAACCTAATTCTGCAACAGCTTGGAGATGATGGTGTTGCAGTGCCCCACTCCACGCTTACAACTGGAGAGTTGGTCCAAATCTTGCTTGCTGGAACCTTCTCCTGGAAGGAAAAACTCCATCAGAATTTCCACCATCAATGGAAACTATTACTGTGAACAATTTTGAAACCATCTCATTCTGATGACAAACTAACAAAAGTCCTATGAACTTGAAGCTTTGCCTAGTTAGTAGACCTAACAAATAATCAAAATAAAAATAAGTGATCCTGCAAACTATATTTTTAATCAAAGCCACATATACATAAATAACTAATAAAAAAATTGTAGACCAACCTTCAGAAAATCAATTAAAGTAGAGAATCCATTTTTCCAGTTAAGGAAAGGGTTTCCAGGATCTTCCTCCCCTTTGTATTCCAAAAATCCCCGGGCACCGAGCTGGTCCAATGAATCACAGGCATTGTGGAAGTTCTGATACTTCTCAAAAGTGGCCAGGATGTCGTATCCAAGTTCACCCCATTTATTCACTTTCTGAAATCTGTTTGGGATTATCATTTCTCTTAATCATCATGATGCATCATGCTCTTAGAGGGCTTTTATAACAATCATAGTTTATAAAAATCAAAAATGTTTTCACACTCAGATTCTAACCTAATAAAACCATAGAGATACAGAAAAAAATCAATAGCTCAATTACAATCCATTTTTTTCAAAAATGAAAAAATAAAATAATCTAATAAAACACTATGTATATACAAAAATAATCTCTCTACGCTTACTCCTCATGCAGAAAGTCACCAAAGGAGCCTTGGTACCTCCTTAGGGCATCTTCACTCTCCTTCTCAATCTTAACCAAGGCAGCCAGACATGCTTTCCAAATGGCAGGATCAATGACTTTCCCTCCCTCCTTGATGAACACACGATTGTCGCCTAGACCTGAGGCGGATAAAGATGCTGTGGTTATATTTGCTTGTGAGGAGGACACAAAAAAAGCTTTCTTCTTAGAAAGAGTGTGAAAGTGGTGATGTTGATGGTGATACTGATGATGATGCTTACAGTTCCATGCAAGTTATCAGAATATTTTGTATAACATCACCATTCTGCATTGTATTAATCCTCACAATAATGAAATATGATTAAATGCTTACCTGTCTGTGTTAGCGTTATAGTTTTATCAGCTTCATTAATGAATTTTGCAATATGTGCAACAACATTCCTCTCCTCTCCATGCATCCAATGGGCTCCCAACTCAATCAAATGATCCCCTGAAAATTATCAATCAAAATGGGAAGAAAATAATCAGAACAAGCAACATTTAGTATTTTCTAATTGTAACCTAATTTCTATTAAAGTCAGGCAAAGATGGCTGTACATTAGTGTACCTGAATTTGTACCTGGGCAATAATCTGGCTGAGGGTACGAAGAACAAGACCTTATCTAGGTGAATGGGACATAGACTCATGGCATGACGAGGCACTAACTGTGTCTATGATTATTCACCATAACATGAAAGTATGTTATGTGTTCAAAGACTGTGATATTATTAAACACAATCTTGGCATGAATTTATTAATAATTATTGGAAAAAGAAATTATAAAACATACACACATCATAACCCAGATCAATCTTCTGTCAACAACAACAACAACACAAAAAAAAAGAAAAGAAAAGAAAAAAAATCAACAGGAATCACCTGTCCTTATCTTAATATACAGTATGGGAGAGCATGTAACAGATACAAACCATGTCTGAATGTATGTATTCTTCCCCCTAACTCTTCTTGGGCTTCGAGTACCAACAGACTCTTCTCTCCTGCCTCTGTGAGTTTCTGAGCCACTGCCAGTCCAGCTGCTCCTCCACCTACTATGCACACTTTCACATGCACTGGGACATCTGCAAAAGGGATGCTTTTTGTTTCAAGAATTCTGCTAATATTATTGTGAATTTGTCTGATTTGCCTTTCAGAATATATCTTCTTATATAATAATTTTGAAAACAATGTATTATAAATGTATGATTCAGCTTTTCAAAATACATTATTTTGCTTTTTCTTTCTTGAAGGCCCTTAAGTCCCCTAAATTTTAGTCATGAAAGATATTCATTTTGGCATGCCAAGTTCTATACATTATGTCAGATTATTTGTTTTCTTGTTGTTTAAAAAAGGAATAACATACAACATCAATAACAAACACTTGGCCATATCACTGAATCACAAAATTTCACTTCTAAATTCTACTCCTATTTGTTGTACAATTTACTTTCTTTCGATTCACATCAATTCTGTTTGATCTTTCCAAACACATATCCCCATTCATTTATAAGATAACCATTTAAATGTATTGTAGCATATCTGCAATAAGTAAGAAGTAATATAAAATAATCTCTTTTTAGGTGATGCTCTGATACTCCCTAGTTCTTAATGAGTCCAGTCTTAACCTAATAAAGACTGGTAAAGACAGGCATATATTACTGTGCCACTCCCCACCAGGACAATCAACTGGATTTGCCATTCCTACGAGACTTCATCCCAGCGACCAGGACACAGACATCTGTGATTATATATCATGACATGACAGCATGTCAACTGTAGCTCATAGGTCAATAACCACCTGTTTTGCAATCTATCTTTGTCCCCATGCTTCACTTGATAGTGCCAGTTATATAAATAAAAGGGTCATTTCTCAAAACTGATGCCGATTTTGTGGGTGAGATCAGCCCTATTACTGTATAGTTCTCTTAGTCCCTAAATGAGTTAATTCTGGAGTAATCTCGCATATGGAGTTCATCGTATCTTTTAATTCATTTTATCTTCCCTGTAGTAGATTTGGCCAAAATATGTTTTCTGCTCTGTTTTTTTAAGAATTCAAATCAGAAATATTTCATCATGATGACAATGATAAGGACACTGATACTGTTGATGGTGATTATGATGAGGAGTGAGTTGAGATGGGGACGGGGAAAGGGACAGAGATGATGATGATGATGATGATAATGAAGATAATGAAGATGGTGATGTTGATAATGATGATAATGTTAATGAGACTGAGACTGAGAATGGTAATGATGAAGATGATGATGATGATGTTGATAATGATAATGATGATGATGATGATGATAAGGAAGAGGGGAAGAGGAAGAGGAAGAGGAGTAAAAGTAAGGGTAGGAGGAGGAGCATTGGGAAGATGATGAGGAGAATGAACCTGTAATTGTTGATGTTATGATAATGACCATGTATATAGTTCACTAAATTTCAGTCAGAGAGAGAATCTGTATATCTTTTGCTAAAATTACTAAATCTTAATTGCACAAATGGTTGAAGAAGCAAATACATCCGGACAAAAAGTCAAACACAACATGATTTGTCACTTTAATTGTGAGTAAAATCTTCAGATACACAAAACAAAACATACACAAAATTAGACAAAGACTGGCAAATTACAATTAGAACAGCCTCATGAAAGTTACAATATACTTTTCTAATCCTAAATATTCACAACCCAATATCCTAGAATATTTCTACTCTTAAAAATATTAAATCTACCTGCATTAAAATACTAAAATGACCTGATTTTGCTTCTACATACATACTAAAGCAAAGAGCAAAGAGTTAACACTAGCGTATTAGTAATACAATAGGATTTATCATAAAACTATGATATAAACAAAAGATTGCACCTGTACGAAGAACATATATATGGGTAAGCGTACAGACCTGACCTAAGGGTGTATAGAAAGTTGCTTGCCCAGTCAAAATACAATAAAAAAACCATTACTGATCTAAGAGATTTAATGACATGATTCTGGATTAAAGATGCACAGAGCTTAGCACTGTTATTGCTAACGATGATCAGACGTGTCCTTGCAAGAAACCATAACCGTATAGGAATTTTTTGAGACCTGTTTCTGCCAAAGCTCACAATTTACTAGATGGGTCAGCTGAAATGGAACATGCATGTGTAGTCTAATAAGCAGAGAAGCAGTACTCACTTATTTACTTACAATTCTGTCTGAAACTATATTAAAAGCACCATAAACATACTTAATTTTCTTTATCAGAAAGGAAAAAAAAAAAGAAACAGAAAAAACATAACTATTACCTTTAACCGCCCTGTTTCTTTCTTCACATTGGGATGAGTTCTCTGTGACACCGTTTTGTACTGCCGAAGGTGTGTCATTTCTCTGATTTGAGGTATCTGCTGCTACTATTGGTTCTAGACAGCCTTGACTTCTGAAATGCCAATAAAGTCCTTGACACTGTTAAACATGTATGTTAGTTTGTTTGATGCTTCTCCTACAAACTTGATAATAAGTGTTATCCACACTCTAGGCAAACAACAGCGTAATAAAAAAAAAAAAAAAAAAAAATTATAAAAATCATGGTTAAGTTCCTCATACGTATTTCCTAATATCTAATACTTTTTATCTTTCTCTCATAAGATCCATCTGACAAAGAAATAATTCCAAGCTCAGTTTCACACTTGGTATCTGAAACCATAATTTACACATTTATTTCACATTCTTCTTTTTAATTTCAATCAAACCTAAAAAATTATTCAAATAAATAATGCTTCAAAGAACGTTACCTTGACAAATACTGGATCAACCTTTCTGCTTCTCTCCTTCCTGTTTCAACAGCACCGTGAACTGTTGAATAAAAGTAATCATGGGTTGCTTCTCCCGCAAAGCAGACAACCTGCAAGTAATAAAATGATTTTCCTTCTATTCTTTTAGTATATTACTCAAGAAATAAAACCCAAATTAAAATCACCTTCACTTTATTTTAAATACAATATCTTTCTGGCAAAGTGAGGAGAAAACTATAATGTAGATATTCTTTTCATCAATATCATCAAATGAAAAACAAGAAATTAAAACATAATCATAATAAATAAATAAACACAAAAACAACAACAAAAAATAAATAAATAAACAAAATACTGGTAACACAAATTTCAACACTCACAGGAGCATCATCTGCATTAATCAAAGGGGATGCTAAGTCTGCAGCCCAAACATTCATTGCTTCAGACTTGGTGCTGCGGAAACTGTATGACCCTTTTATCCAAGGATTCTGACCCCATGATGATCTGCAACAAAAATGTGGAAAAATCAGAATGTTTTTTTTTTTAAATGTTATTCTAAACGATAACCCACAGTAATGACTAATTTTAATTACTGGTCATAGTAATGGCAATGGGAATGATAAAGACAATCTCCTCTTCCAGACTACAATGCCTATAAATCCATATCCTTTCATTACACAAATCTTTGTCTCTTTACATCTGAATAATGACATCCATGGATTATTTCAGTCTACCTCTTTCCCCAAACTGCATCAGGAATCTGAAATTTGGGTGCCAAACGCTTCCTCAGAAGGGAAACACAACGCTTGATCACTTCCTCTTCCTGGACTTGCTCCATCATGCGAGCCGCTGGTCCAGTGATCCACCCACAAAGCATGTTGGGTTGTTTGTAGACCTCATAGAAGCCTAAGACTCCATATTCCCAGTTCTGGAAGAAACAAATTTTTAAACTGTTTGTATAATCTATTTTTTTGCATATTTTTTTCCGTCTCTATGATGTATTATTATAAGAAGCCATACCATTTGTGAATCTAGAGTCCACATTGCAATTATCTCTACTTTGGAATCATAAGAAACTTAGAAGCTGCAGTATAGTACCTCCTTTGTTATTGTTTCTGAAGTTTCCTCAAGGTTATATAAAAAGCTGAAACCATCACAACCTGTCTCCCACCACTGCTGTGGGAACTGGATGAATATCTTGTCCACAACACCAATCCCTAAGCCCTGAGAAAAATAAAATGTCATTCAAATAATTCAAAAGATTACCCAGATCATGAATCATTGACTGGATATATCTCTTTTAATATCTAACTATCAACCCTTACTTGAATCAAATAAAACATTAATTTAGTATTCATATATACAGCTTATTGCTAAACAGCTTAAATTTCTGTCCAGATTTAAAAGATTTGGACCACTAGGTGCTAGAAAAATGGTGATTAACCTGCACTAATTCACTGATGAACTTACAAAAGATTATAAACTAAATTATGCAGCTCAACATACACCACACCATCTATAATAAATATTACAAATCAGAATATAAAATCAGCAAGAATGAATTGATGATTTCCCTATAATATATATCTGTATTGTATATTTCTCTATGTAAGATAATGAATCTCCCTACACTCATTAACTGGGTCTTAAAACCATCTATCCAAGTCATAAAAAGTTGTGGTAGTGGCTATAACTATAGCAACAGAGCATTAACGCAAACTTTTGTGTTAGGGCGTGGGGAATGTTACATTCTTAAACAAATGTTCGTAAGCTATTTTATTTGCTCTAATGGTACAGTATGCCTGCAACTGTGATGTAGGTAACCTACCTATCCCAATCTAATCTAACTTAAATTTACCTAAGCTAACCTATCCAAACCTGACAATGACCATATCACTGAGACTGCATGTTCTCATCTCAGCTGTATTGTTGGCTTTAAACTAAAATTATGACATATAACATAGCATTTAAAAAATACAAATACCTCAATGGCTCTTGACTTCTCCACTGGTAGTGGAGGGTTGAACATTTCCTCGACCACTGCTTTCAAAACTGCTAAAGATGGGGTGAAGACAACATGGTCTGCTCTTATTACCTGGCCTGACCATAATGTTAAATTGCAGCTGGCAGATGAAGCCAAAGGGCCATGCCAGTCAATGGTTTTTACAGCTGAATTCAAATGAAGACAAGACTTGGGCAATTCCTCCTGTAAAATAGTTGTTTTATCAGATTGATTTTAGTTAGCCTTTGGTACATTTCCCTGTGTCAGAGAGTGACTGAGGGAACCTCACACTTGTTAAATAAACTGTTATATCAACTAGTCTTGAAATAACATCACACACTTTGCAACTTATAAACTTTTGGTCTTTTGTTATTTCCTCTGAATTTCCATCTTTATTTAGATTCTGAATCAACTAACCTTAAGGTGGTTTAGAAGGGCTCGATATCCATTTTTCCAGTTGACCACAATGTTTCCAGGGCATTCCTTGTAACAGGTATGCCCTCTTGCCGAACAATCGTACCAGGAATCAGTACCATCAATGCAGTTCTGAAAACGTCCCCTCCAATCCAGCAGTTCCTCTCCAATAACACCCCATTGGTTGAGTGACTTGAATCTTAAAAAAAGAAAGAAAGAAAGAAAAAAAAGAATTAAGTAAATGAATAACACCCTAGAAAAAGTGAAATATTAAATACTACAATTATTTATACAGTAAAGTATATAAATACAACTTACAGTAAATCAGTTCAGAACTTTAAAATAAGTCCTCACATGCTAAACAAAATACACAGAGGGAAAAAATAGTGGATGTCAAAAGATGAATACAGATCAATACATGACAGTCTTCAATCCTAACATTTAAAGGGTAAATTTCAAGTGAGGTTGGATGTGATTTATTACTTCCATTTAAGTCTACCAAGAGACAAATGTAATATTACCATCAGATCTTACTAAATACAAATATTCAAAGTTCATGGATGTGCTATACCCTTGTTAATGCGAGCCACACTTACTGTTCTGAATAGTACTGCCCAACAGAGTGTGGGAAGGAAGGAAAGTCTTTCTCCGCCTGTTCCTCGAGATTTGCAAAAGCCAATTCAAAAGCTTCGAAGGTCTCCGCTGGTACAATTTCCCCATTTTCTCTGACAAACACAGTTTCACCAATACCTGTAAATATCACAGTTAATGAAGCATTGTTTCTGCTCTAAGCTACAAACAGCCTTCCATAGTTCTTTGTATTTCATTAGTAACAACACATAAGTGTAAAGGGAACCATTCTTTCATATAAAGACATGTTACTTTTCTCATATAATTTCTGTGGTAAAGCATTATGAATAAAGACTGACTTTGTCATGCAATTTGGTATACAAAATCCTATATATCTCTCTCCTGTTCTTGAACTTCAAAACAACTTTCTCCTTTGTGTAATCACTTAATTTCCTATAGATACTCTTAGCATAGACTTCATTCGCTACACATACAAAACATCCGGTAAGTGCATCAACAACCAGCCCACCCATTGCCCATGATTAAACTAAGGTGGAAAATGTATCAAAGTAGAATTGTACCCTTAGAAAAATAATAGCTTAGCAAATACCTAAAATACCTGAAGAATGAGAGTAAGACAGATAGAGACAAATAAACAAATTTAAAAGCAAAGTGAAACAAATCTTATTCTACAGTAAATTGCAAAGTCTTAGTACCTGTTTGTGTCAGCTTAGGTTCATCATCCACCTGGTTGTTTTGCGAGGCCCACTCAAAGACAACATTTTCTTCCTCTCCATGGATCCAGTGAGCACCGAGCTCCAAGACATGGTCACCTTGCATTGTTAATTACAGGAATATCTGTGTTAGCTCATATGTAAAGGCACAGAAAAAGGGTACCTGTGATGACAAATTTCTTAGTCAAAATGGCAAATACATATTGCAGAAAATTTTGTGAAAAAAATAGAGCTTTATATGTTCAAATCTATAACCAATAATGCCATGGTGTATGTTAAGTCTGCTGCTCGATGGAAAGATCAAAAGCACTGGAAACATAAAATCATCCCAGCCTCTATGCTCTTGGCTGTAGCATAAGAATCTTTTTAGGCAATGATACTAAAATTAGGTTTTACATCTGTTTTTGCAGGACTATTTCTCTTCAATAAATGCAGCTATCACCAGACAATCACTTGCACAACTTTGATCTGGCTGAATTACCATGATACAAAGTTGTCATCCCAGTGTCAGGGGTTGTCTACCATGATATGATATAACATTATCCTGGCATGAAAGGGTTAAAAGTTGATAATAACCCAAAGTATGAGATGCACAGCTGCCAGCTACTATCCATAATAATAATGACAATGATAACAATAACAAAAATTGTAATATCTTACCATGTTCTACTGTGTGGACTCTCCCACCTATTCTATCCTGAGCCTCAAGGACAAAAACATCTTTTACTCCAGCCTGAATAAGCTTCTGAGCAGCACTGAGCCCTGCTACACCTGCACCAATTATGCATACACGGGCATGCTGCGGAATGCATGCCATCTTCTGTCTGGAAAAAATGATAGAATGAACAATAGATTGAGTATCCAAAAGAAATTACTAATAAAGTAGCATATTTTAACACAGTGATAAAGAAAATATTAAATCACAAAATATCCAAATTAATCTTTCGTTACCACAGGCACGATATCCTAACAGAAATTAATCCACTCATTAGAATAAAAATATTCTATCACTAAAACATGGATATAACACACTTTTAGGTGGATGACAATTCACTACAGAAAATCAATTAAAGTTCTGCATGCACTCTGTTGTCTCACTTATTACCCTGATCTTACTCTTAAAGATAAGCCTGATATCTATACATATTTCATACACTCAGTAACAAAGGAGCTTATCTTCTCTTATGTCTGAAGGTTTCACAATATCTCCTGCTTGATAGAGATAGCCTTTATCTTTCTGTGGCACTAAACTGATGTCATTTCTGTGACACAAGATAGTGTCTCTGTGTTTAAAAAGATACTTTGTATCCTATATGAAACCAAAAGAAAGTACCGTACTTTATCATCTCTTCATTCATTCTCATATAGGAAGCAAGGATATTAAGTAAAACCTTCAACTTTACATGACTGACTCCATACAATTTCCTGGTGATAACAAGGGAAAATGCTGCAATTAAAGTTGAAAGGCAAAATGCAGATATTGGAGGCTGGATGATAGTACTACAATAAATATAAATACATAAGCATAAGGAAAAAATAAAACCAAATAAAAATTACTTTATATAAGAAGCAGATATACCATGGATAACATTTCTTGAAGTATAAAAAGATGCAACAAAATATGAAAACACAAAAATATTTTTGGTTTTGGACAGGAACAGATAGCTCATTTCACTTCAAGAACAATTATCTAGATGCTCAGTTTCATTCCTTGATCACAAAAGTAATAACCGCTCTTAAAAGTGAAAGTGATAACAAGATTGTTATTTTTTGCTTAAATGCAAAAATAAAATTCTTGCTCCTCAAGGCAATATAACTGACATTCAATTTTTTATACCTTAAAGTCTGGAATGAAAATGCCATTTCAATTATCATATCTAATAACATCAACAACTGTAGCACACATAATCAACTAAGCTCAGAAAATGGGATGACACAACCTTGAAATCAGCAACAATACTTGGTAGATATCATAAGTGAACTCTTAATCTTGTAGTATTGAAAATAAAAGTAATACTGATAGCACTTTTATGGTAAATTTGTACAAGACATCTGCTGTTGGGCCTACATTTGGCAAAGTTCACTAAACCTCCAATAACTGAATAACTACATGCATATATTCTGGCATGCTCTAAAATAATTACACATATTTTGGCAAGGTATAGCTTATGGACCTCCCAAATAATTTCTCATCAAATAAGGAGCTACTCCAAGCTCCACCTTGTTGGACTCTGCCTTCTAATTTTGGTAGGCTGTCTCAAGAAGAAAAAGAAAAAAAGTTGGATAAATGTTATAAGAAAAAAAAAATCAAACAACACTTGTTAGATTTATCTGCAGAGTACATGTAAAGCCACAATTGCTGACCAACGTGTGCAAATAAGTACTTGCAGTAATCTCCATTCTTCACACTTTAAAAAAAGCCAATTAACTTAATCACAAACTTTCTAGCACATAAGAACTTGTCCTCTTTATCAATTCATCAATTAAAGAACTAAAAGTTGCCGCTCACTAATTCTAGCATATGAAACTTACAGATATAACACTACTAAAATAAATCAGCAAAAAATGTCATTGTGCGTGTTTTATAATCTTTACACCTGATAGCTCAGTGGATATGGATAGATCAGGTAAAATAAACGGTAAATACAGCAATAAAATAAGTGACTGAAACCGACTATTACAAGTAAGCATTACAACCCACTTTAAAATTCCTAAACGAATGAACATCAACATGTACGAGTCTGATGTGCAAGATGATGATAAGAGATCAACAAATACAGAGAGATCACAGGGTATTGAGCATTCTACATTGATTTATTGGCAAGAATTCAAAATATGTCGTCTGCGGCTCACCTGGAGTTACCTAAGCCGTTTTTAATTCCGTTTTTCTATATCAAATTAGTCATTTTCTTACATTAAACTAGCTGTCTATTACCCCGTTGTCTTTGTCGCTAGTAATATAAAATGCTAAATATCATAAAATCGTCATTATACATTCACTCTACATAGATATTGCCTAATTAGGTGAGTGTGGGATGGAACACACGCAAACTACATGTGGGAGAGATCATGTCTATAGATATTTACTTTTGAACAAAAATGAATAATGAAAAAAAAAAATCATT